GACATGTAAAGTTTATATTGAATATGATGTTAATAATATCTTATTAGTTTGTCTTTTGTTAAAGTGGTACACAACCAAATATTTAAAATCTTCATAACTTGAAAAAAAAAAAATCAATTTGATATTAATACAAAGTATATAAATTTAGAATTCTTTTTTATACTTAACTTTTATTGCAACAAATAATTTTTAAGTTCTTAAAATATCTTAGTTCAAAATAAATTAAAAAAAAATGTAAACACATTCGTGCTGAAATATCTGCAAACGTATAAAAAAGAAAACATATAAAAAAATATATTGTCAAAACAATTTAAAAGATTATTATTTAAAAGATTTTGTATCGGGTAAAGATTTTTTTTTCGGCAGGAAAATAATTTAATAGCACCCCTCTCTTTTTAATGTTAAACCCAAAACATATGTAAACAGCATAAAAGTCTAATAACTTTCCGCATGATTATCTTCTCCTTTTACTAAACTGTGTTTTTTTCACTGATCTTATCGATTAACTGCACAAAAGTAGTCTACACATAGACTTTAAAATGTACATAAATTGATCATAGTCATTATTTTCTAAAAAAAATGATTTTTTTCTGAGATTACCAATGTATATCTTTTTACATATACACGCCATTTTATAAATGAAAGTTTAAAAAAACCAAATAGATTCTTATCACTTCCTTTTAGCTGAAAAACGTTTACGTTGGTTTTATTACCAATATATAAGTACTTAATTAAATATCTCATATATATGTCATAAACATTGGTTTACTCCATTGACCCATGATATAGCCTGGGATTTTAAAAGTGAGAGTCAGTGTTTGTAAGATTACCTCGTTCTTTTCAGGGAAAAATTTTTTTGGTTTTTTATTTGTTTTGTGAATAAAAAAATAGTCAATAATTATTGCAGACTGCTCATCAACATTCCTATTTGACAAAAAAAAGCTTCCTTGCTTTATACTTGAATTATCCTTAAAAAGTTGAAATTTTTAAAAATATGAAAATGTGTAACCCCTTAAATTCATTTTTAAATACTTTAGTTTAATTTTATTGAAATATATTTAGCCATCAAACGCAACTTATAAATGTAGTTTTTTGTTACCAAAAATTTAAAACAAAAAATGAATTTAAGCACATTAATTATTTTTATTTTTTGACAAGTTTTATATTTTTGTAAACTAAAAAATGAAACAAAAAAAACTGTATTCATAGAATGGCTTACTACCGCCAACCTTTATAACTTCATTGTAGGTGGTAATTTAACATGCAAAATTTTTATAAGGCAAAAAAAGTTAACCATAACTTTTAATAGATTCCGTGGATTTATTGGATTGTCAAAAAAAATGATTTTTCAGTAGTAGTAAAAGTTACAATTATCAAAAAATGATGGAATATCATTATATATGTTCCTTTTTCAGAAAATATTAAACTTTTTTTCCTAAAACATCAAAATCCCAAAATAATTCAAAGAGCCCTCATGTTACCTTTTGCTACTTGCGCATGCATATATATTTCACTACAGCTCACATATTACAATTTTAAAATTTTTTTTTGTTAAATACACATTTTCTTAATATAATTTCATTTAAATAAGTTTCAAAACATATCGGCTTTAATTTTTGTCTTACTAAAAACAACATTTTAAATTTTCACGGCTTACTAGTAGTAGTAGTAGTAGTAGTAGTAGTAGTAGTAGTAGTAGTAGTTGTAGTAGTAGTAGTAGTAGTAGTAGTAGTAGTAGTAGTAGTAGTAGTAGTAGTAGTAGTAGTAGTAGTAGTAGTAGTAGTAGTAGTATATATTTGTTACAACAAAAGTAAAAATAATTGACAAAATACAAATCATAGATTGTCAGATAGTTTTTGTGATAGATAGTCAGTTAGTTTTTGTGAATATAGATATAGATAGTCAGTTAGTTTTTGTCATAGATAGTCAGTTAGTTTTTGTGAAACTCATATTGCAATTTTCATTAAGGAAAACTGCAAGCTGGAGTAACATTGGAGCTTATCAAGGCTTGCTTTAAAGCTGTTGATAGTTGGAGAACCGATTACTTTATCTGGTAGCATTTTCCATGCATTGACAATGCAACTGTTAAAAAAGTGGAAGCGAGCTAAATGGTTGCTGTACTTTTCACTATGAAGTCTTTCGCTGTGATTTGCTCTTGGTAGAATTGTGATGAGGAGAAAGTTGATCATGTTAATGTTATTAATAATTTTATATTTTTGAATGAGGTCACCTTGTTTTTGCGACGTTGAACTAGAATAAATAGGCCAAGTTGTAAACATCTGGACTTGCACTCTAACTTTTTCAGTTTGTCTGGTATTTTTGTGGCTCTACACTGTATTAGCTCAATAGTTTGTTCATCCTTCACCAAATGAGGGTTCCAAGCTGGAATTGGAAACTCAAGTAAAGGACGGATGTAGGCAGAGTAGAGTTGTTTCCATAATAAAGGATCACGAGATTGAAAAGTGTGTTTTAGGATGTCTAGCATTTTATTTGCTTTACAGGAGGCAATGATGGATTGGATTTCTACTTTAAGATCATTGGTAATTTGAATTCTTAAGTCACGCTCAGAGGTGTTTGCTTCCAATGTAGTTCAAATCGTTATTGAACAAGGGCCCAATTCCTCCATTGAGTACTCAAAAGGAGTTAATTTTTTTTGGCCAAAATGCATGACCTTGCATTTCTTTGCATTTAGCTCCATGAGCCAAGAGTTGGTCCAATAAACTATTTGGTTAATATCATTGACCAATTGATTGGAGTTGAAGTTAAGCAGCATATGAGTTGACAATGCTCAGGATTTTAGTGTGCAGACAGTATATAGACATTGCTCAGGATTTTAGTGTGTGCAGACAATATAATTTTTGGATAGAGATGTAAATATACATAAATTTGAATTTTTAGCGCAATGTTCTTAAAACATCTAAAAAGCTGTGGTCAAGTTGTCGCAACTAAATATCAAATGCATGGTCAGAAATATATTACCTCAAATATGTTATAGTAATGCTTATAAATGAATATATAATCAAATAATCACTTCGTACATTTTTTTAATCTAAAAACTAGCAAAAGAAGCAACAATATAGTATAAGTATTCTAAACCAAAATAGATTTCTCCTAAAAGCCTGTTGAAAATAATTTGGAGCCAAAATCAAGTATTTTATTAAAAAAAATATATATGTATATAATAGGTTTACATCCATGGTTCCACATTTGTACGGTTTAGATTTCCATAATTATATTTTCATATTTAAATAAGACATTGAAGAGTTAGAACAAAATTTTTAGTCAAGATTTTAGCATTATTACCTTACCTACATTCCCAGCAATCTTTATATGTTTAAGTAATAGTGAATCTTGCATAACCAGCATATATTTTAAAATCATCAAATGAATAACTAATTATCTAATTATCATATTAAATTGCTATGTGTTTGCAGCTTTCATCATTGTCATATTAACCACACTATTGGCTAAGAATTTACTTTTAAGTCTCAGTGTAATGGTGTTGATCTTACCACATTGTAATATCTAACCTGCGTTCAATAGTGATAAATAAAAACACATGTGACTTCGGAAATGAATATTAAGGATGATACTGATTATTTTTCAAAATAAACATTCAAGCTTATAAATTAGTGATAAACACTACACAGTTTGAGAAACAAGTTATTGATTTATTGAATAAAAATCAAAAAACTACATTTATAAGTTGCGTTTGATGGCTAAATATATTTCAATAAAATTAAACTTAAGTATTTAAAAACAACAATTAAAAAAGAAAAAAGAAATCTATTGAAAAAAGCCAATTTATTGCTTACTTGTTTCGTTTAACTTTAGCTGTTTTAATACATTTATGACAAAAAAAAAAATCATTTGGACAAACCCACATCCATCCACAATAATAAATTCTATATTATAGACTAACAAAATTATCGAAATAAAAGCATTTACTTAATCAAAAACTTTTTTTCAACAATTTTAAGTAAATTTTAACAATACTTAAGTGTTATTCAGCTTGTACCCGCAATCAGAAAAAATGAATGTTCTGCATTGATACAAGCTGATCTCTGGTTCTCTGTCTTTTTAAGTTTCTATATTTGAATAAAAAGTATATAAAACTTTTTTAAATATAGATGTAAATTGACAGTAAAAAAGTAGACTCCAAGAATACCATTTGAGAAAGAAGTTGTTCAAAGAAAATATAATATTGAATAATATTTTGTATGCAAAACATTCATCATCTGGCTTTTAAATGGACTCTTTTCTCTTTATCACAAAACTGCTTTATAGTATGCAAAACTATATCAATAGAAAAATAAAAAATACATAAAATTCTTAAAGCTCCTCCTACTCCCAGCTCATATTCACAATAAAATTGGGAGTTTTACATCAGATTTTTTTCTTTTAGACAGCCTTTACTGTGGCTTAAAAACATCCCTACTTTTATTGTGTTAAATTAAATTACCATTCAAAAAAATAACTATTCAAAAGTGTGACAAAACTCACTTTTTATTTCTTATTTTTATTTTGACATTATTGGCTTTTTTTTTATTATCCCAAACCGCATACTATTCCACTCTTATTTTTATCCAAACAAGATTTTGTATGTGTTTGATTTATATTAGAATGAAAATAATTCAATATACAATTTATTACTTAACATTTAAAAAAATTACTTTTATATTACAAAAATACAATTTTTAAATAATTGATAACAGCAAAAAATCTATACTTCCAATTTAACCTAAATTACTATTTAAAAGCATCATACATTGATATAATACACTCACATTTTTCAAAGATTTTTATGATCATCATCACAAAAAAAAGCTAAGAAGCTGAAAATAATGCAACAAACAAAAGTTAGAGCAGAAGTGTTAAAATGAACAATTTAGAGAACGATAAAATTTTTTATACTGAAAATAAATTAAATAATTATCAAAAATAATGATTGCATCAATACACTTGGTCATTTTATAATAGATTCTTAAACTAAGAATTACCTCAATATGATCCCATTTCTTATAATCAACCATTGTTGCAAGCAACCGAGTAGCTATACAATTTTTAAATTACTATAAAGATATATATATATATATATATATATATATATATATATATATATATATATATATATATATAATAATGGAAGCATTATTAGATGCATTCGAAATTGCTGTTTTAGGTCAAAAAAAAAAACATTAAAGTAGAAAAAGTGCACCTAATAGCGCTAGGGTGTATATATATATCAGTGGTGTACACTCGATTTTTAGATGTTTGAGTTTTGACACTTACAGGCATTGTGCAAACTCCAAACTTTTGTATGTTCATGCTTATGTCAAATGAGGATGTTTTGCAAAGAAATGTAGTAATTGGAGGTTGGGAACAAAAAAACCCTAATTTTTGGGCCCACCCAACCCTTAATATGGGAGCAACAAGTTTATAAAAAATTTTCTCTTCTATTTTTATCTAAGTTTATATTTATCAACAAATTTCAAATTTCATGCAATATTTTCTTAGTGTTCAGTTTTTATGACCATATAAAGTTTTAACCCCCCTCAATTTGAGGGGGCTCTAAACTTTGCAGGGTCATAAAAACTGAACACTAAAAGATTATTGCATGAAATTTGAAATTTGTTGATGAATATTGATTTAAACAAAAATAGTATAGAAAATAATTTATAAACTTGTTGCTCCCACATTAAGAGCCGGGTGGGCCCAAAAATTAGGGTTTTTTTGTTCCCAACCTCCAATCACCACAATTCTTTGCAAAACATCCTTATTTGACATAAGCATGAACATACAAAAGTTTGGAGTTTGCACAATGCCTGTAAGTGTCAAAACTCAAACATCTAAAAATCGAGTGTACACCCCTGTATATATATGTATATATATATACATATATATATATATATATATATATATATATATATATATATACATATATATATATATATATATATATATATATATATATATATATACATATATATATATATATATATATATATATATATATATATATATATATATATATATATATATATATATATATATATATATATATATATATATATTCATAATAAAGATATATATATATATATATATATATATATGTATATATATATATATATATATATATATATATATATATATATATATATATATATATATATACATATACATTCATAAAATATGTCTATATTTATAGTATATGTATATATTCATTGCATTTTATATATATATATATATATATATATATATATATATATATATATATATATATATATATATATATATATATATATATATATATATATATATATATATATATACAACCCTCGGAATTAGGAAAATTGAGGTCAGCAATAATTTGCCGACCTCAATCTTTTAGAGGTCAACATCAGGTTGGCAAATACAAAGGTTTTACCATAAAACATCAAAACAAGGTCAGCAAAACCGAATTTTTTTTGCCGACCGCAAACACATTTAGATAGACAGTTAGGTCGGCATTGCCGAAAGCTGACCTTAATTCCGAGGGTTGTATATATATATAAATATATATATATATATATATATATATATATATATATATATATATATATATATATATATATATATATATATATATATATATATATATATATATATATATATATATATCCTTATAGTGTAGTCTAAAGAGACTTTTATGGTAAAAAAAGTCTCTTTCAACTACAATTTTAATTACCTCGGCTCTTAAACTGTATTTGATTGTTGTCGAAATGTCAAAGCAATTAAATTAATGTGGAAATACATTAAATTTTATTGTTTTTTAAAAAAAACCGCAATAATAATGACTAGAAAGTTTTTTTAATTAGCGGTCTTTTTGTTTTGCCTGACTTGCAAGGGAGTGCTGCTACATCAACTGACAAATAGCCTGACTCGCAAGGGAGTACTGTTACATCGACTGACAAATAGCCTGACTCGCAAGGGAGTGCTGCTACATCGACTGAGGGTTTGGTTTGGGCAGGCAGTCTATCATTTAAAAAATAAAAAAATTTTGTTTGAAGTTTTTTAATATTTTCTGGTCAGGCTTATTAACGCGCTCTTTAAAATTACAGTTTATGGGAAAAACTTTGTGACTACCATGCAAAAGTGTATATATATATATATATATATATATATATATATATATATATATATAATATATATATATATATATATATATATACAAACACATATATATTCATAGTATATGTATATGTATTTAAGGTGACCATAATTTTATTCATTTTAAAAAAAAAATGAATAAAATTTCAATAAATTTAACTTTAAAACATGAAAAAAAAATGAATTAAATTTCCATAAACATTTAAAAAAAAAGTTTTTAAAATTCCCATTAGAGAAGAAAAAAAACTATTTTGAAAGATTTTTCAACAACAAGAAAATGCATTTTACAAAAATTTTGTTTGCCTTAAAATGTTTTTTTCCACTAATTATTGTAAGTAATGCTTTGTGATTTATTTTAATAAGAAGTTCATAAAAATAAGTGTTCATAAAAAAGTAATTTAAGGTTTTTATAACTATTTATCAAATTCAAAAAATGAATAGTAAGAAGAGTAGGTTAAACACATTTAATGATAATTTAAAAATAAAATGTTTCCTTTCTTAACGCAGATCAAACGCCTCAAATGTACTATTTTTCAAAGCCTATTTGACATTAGTAGTCGTGGATGGTCTACAATTGAAGATCATTGCAAATCTATCAAACACAAAATGGCATTGGATGCTTCTATATCGTTAAACAAAATCACAAAGTTGATGAAGAGTCAGAGCTTTGGTCAAAATGAAAAAATATTAGCAATTCAAGAATGTACAATTGCATTCCACACTATCAAACACAATCATAACTTTAGAAGTGCTGATTTTACATCAAAGCTAATTAAGAAATTTAATAATCCAAGGTTTGCTTGTGCGCGTACAAAATGTAAATAATTGTAAACGTGTTCAAGAAATATTCTGAAACTAACTCAGAAAATGCTTTATTAAAAGTCACATATTAATCATATGTGTCAATTCTTTCTGATGCATCAAACCTCAAGGACGTTAAAATGCAATTTTGGCTTGTTATTTTGATGTTAAAGAGAGAGTGCAAATTCAGCTGATTAACATGGATTGTGTAAATGGAGAAACCTCAGATATTTTATCAGAAGTTATCTTTAAATGCATTAACAATGTTTTTTCAGAAGTTTTGGCATTTTCTGCAGACAATACCAATACCAATTTCAAAGGTTTTAAGCTTAGAAAATCATATAAACTTTTATTTGACTTTTTCAATAACAAAATGAGCAAAATAATGTTGATTTTTGTTCACATTTAAGCCAATGTTTTTTATAACACCATAAAAAAAATTGAGAAAGATGATATTTCTGCTGCTGAAGTTGCTGTAGTAGTAAAGGATTTGAAAGACCAGATAAAATCTAGAAAAGAAGAAAAATTTCTAACTTTTATAGTAAGACAGCATTTGCAAGTTACAGAAGAAAGTAGTTATAATTTGAAAAACCAATTTCTGAAAGAAGTAGAAATTTTTTACAGTGTCTGCCTAGAGTATATAGATGAGTAAACGCGTCACTTTAATCAGGTTGAAGTTTTTAAATGGTCTTTACTTAACTGTAAAGTTGAATGGATTGAAACTATAACTTTTTTGAAAAAATCAATAGAAATCACATTCAATGACAATGAATTGTTCGACAAAATTCGGAGAACTAATACATATTGCACAAAGGAAAAGTTTTCTTGGAACTCACAGTCTGTTGAGTGTGACAAGCAATTGGTTGAAATTTGTTCTCATTGCGAAAATAATCACATTCCTCATAACAATTTTTTTAAATTGGTAAAAGCCACTTTATGTTTGCCAGGTACAAACGCTTCCGTAGAGCAATTGTTTTTGATTGCCAATGATATTTGGACGGAAGGGAAATCCCAACTTACAATGAAAACTTTAGCAGCTCTTTTGTTTGTTAAATTTAATTTAAGAAAATATAGCACCTCAGAATTTGCAGAAAAAATTGAAAAAGATAACATGTTGCTGAAAACAATTCATTTTTATGAAAAATATTTGTGATTTAAAAAATGCAAATTCACATGCTATATTAAAATAAATGAGTTTTTAGTAAAACCCATTTAAACCAGGCCCATAGGCAGTAAAAAATCGAAATTAAAAATATATTCAAAAACTGTTAGTACAACACAAAAAAGGGCAAGACGAAACCATCTTGAAAATATAAAAAATATAATTAATCATTTTATTAAATTTATGCAAAATATAGAAACTAAAAAAAAATGCCCTTGGGCGCCTTTATTTTTATTTTATTTTTAGCGCCTCTTAAAAAAGTGCACCCCTTTTAAAGAAATGGTATTTAAATCAGGCTACAGGCCTGATTTAAATACCATTTTTATTTATACATACCAAATTTATTCCTTGTACATGTCTGGTATTTTTCAAATATGGTCACCTTAATATATTATGAATAAATATTCAGTATATAGTATATATATATATATATATATATATATATATATATATATATATATATATATATATATATATATATATATATATATATAGTCTTGCATGTCTCTTGCGTAGCATCAAAAAATATTTCCCATAAACTGTAGTTTTAAAGAGCGCGTTAATAAACTAGACCAGAAAAAGTTTTAAAAATTAAATTTTTTTTTTTAATTGATAGACTGCCTGGCCAAACCAAACCCTCAGTCGATGTAGCAGCACTCTCTTGCGAGTCAGGCTATTTGTCAGTCGTTGTAGCAGCACTCCCCTCGCGAGTCAGGCTATTTGTCAGTCGATGTAGCAGCATTCCCTTGCGAGTCAGGCTATTTGTCAGTCGATGTAGCAGCACTCTATTGCGAGTCAGGCTATTTGTCAGTCGATGTAGCAGCACTCCGTTGCGAGTCAGGCTATTTGTCAGTCGATGTAGCAGCACTCCGTTGCGAGTCAGGCTATAAGATAGTCGATGTAGCAACATTTACGCATGTTTAAAAAATGTTTTATATTAAATCAATAACAAAAACACCA